ATTTCTTATCTTTATATAAAACAATTCATTTCTCCTCGTATCCTTGTACAAATAAGGAGCTAAATCAGCCTTATAAGGGTCGATATCTGTAGACTGGAAAATCGACCAGCTAGTGGTTGAGATGTCATTTACACGGGTCGATTTTGGTTGAACCACAAAAATCTACTAGAAAATCGACCCGTGTAAAGGCGCCTTAATCCAGCGAGCAATTATCATTAAAGTTAAAATGCCTTGGTTAAAATTAATAAAAAGTTATTTCATTCTTTCTTTACCGGGACAATTGTTACATCGGTGGGCAACGACGCAATTACAGAACTTTAGACAGAGCAATATTTTTCGATCGGGTTCAAATCGGGCGATTGTGAGGGCCTAGCTCACCAATGTAACAATCGTGTCGATAAAAAGGTAAAATATAACTTTTAGTTTGCTATGAAAATCCCCACCTCCTTTCTATTTGAAGAGTAAATTTGTTGATGCAACAAAACGAAGCAGATTTCAGTTGAGCGAAGTAGAGGACTAGGTTTCAAATTTTTTCGACAAAACGGAACAAATCGACTCTTATCGGAGCGAAGTCCGAACGATGGCTTATTGTGTATATGAGCAAAATGTATGCTCTTTGTTTGGTACATAAAGTCAGTATTACCGCAGCCGTACTGCGATGAACATGATGTCGGTGGGATATAAATAATTTTTTTGCAACTTTTCATACCCTTTCTCCCGTAAACTGTTTTTCCCTTTCTCCAGCCCGCGATCGCACTTTCGCTACTGCGCGGGTAAAAAAGTGCCCATGTCTGCTCTTAGCGAACGAATTCAACCGTTCAGTTTATCCCCTTTGTCGCTTATCATATCGATGCACGATTGAGAGAAATATAGATTGCGCCAATCGCGGTACCGCTAATCCGCTCTTTGTGATTCTGACAGAATCAGCTGTGTGCGTGACGTCATCTTGGTGCAATTGTTGATTGTGAGCATACGAAAAAACCAAATAACAATTTTAATATATGTGCGTTAATATTTCTGCGTGGTTTTAAACAATTATTGAGACATTACAAAGCAAAATGAAGTGTTCCGTGGCAAAGTGTAATAGTAAAAACAAAAGGAAAGCGTGCGATATAAGTTTTTTTTCGTTTCCTACGGACGCAAGTCTGGCGAAAAAGTGAAAGCAGTTCTGCCGGCGAGGAGATGCATTAAACACCAAATCGAGCTATGTGTGCATGAAGCACTTTACTAGTGAAGATATTGAAAATAATATTTTTACTGCTGGTATGAGGTAATGCACCAGTGGATAAGGTCGCCAGGCGCTAATTCAAGCGGCATCTTACCGCGCTGTTACGTACCTAATACAAAACAGTGGCCAAATTATTTTACATTTAAAAGTTCAGCTTAAATTATGCTTTACTTACATAGAATATTTGTTTCCAAAGAAGCCACAGTCATGCATTCTCTCGGAAATGGTACAAAAGTCATCAAATAAAAGCTGTGGAGTCAACAGCTGTGGAATCTATGGTGGTTGGCTACCGTCCACAAATATAAATATGCACTCAGCATGGCTTTTTACAATGGCGAGCCCAAAAATTCACTTTGCTGCACACCTTCCTTTTGGTCTACATGAAATTGCAAACACTGTTAATACATCAATTTTTTCATGTGCTAAAATTCGCACTTACCTAAAGGGCTACATGTCCAAAGTTATTGCTACGTGTTTCTAATTAATCAATCTCTGTATATTTATTGATTCCTGCAAAATTGGGCCATGCAATATTAAAATTAACACATTTTTCTGCATTGTTCACATATTTTTATATGCTTTTTGGCATTTCTCTCTCGCAATTGCACCAAGATGACGTCACGCAAAAATTACGCTCAAAAATCATCTCTCATTGGCGCAATCTTGTATTCTATCATTCTTGGGTGGCGCCGATGACGATACCGCTACTCGGCTCTCAGTGATTTTGACAGAATCAGCTGTTTTGGTGACGTCATAGTAGAGAAGACAGCAATAGTGATGTGCTCAGTCAATACTTTCAAGTATTGATCGATATTCGGTAACGATTTAAAATGTATCCAATACTCTCGATACTCGGTACCAAAACATTTAGATTTCAAATAAAAGTGCACACAGGCCAAAGATATGGAAAAAAACGGCTCAGGGGAGACTCGCCAATAGAGCCAATAGAGCTTTTAATACTGATTCAAATGAAAGATGTATATATGTCGGTTCCAGGCCATAACGCAGAGAAACTCTCACTTGTTTGAAGCATTTTTGTTCCAGCTGAATCGGAAGATATCATTTTTGGAGGCCAAGGGGCAGATTCTATAACCAGTTAGCGACAATTTTCGAATCGGTATAGGGTTTGTTGACCTATGATATTAAATATTGTTACACCAACAATTACGATATCGATCCGAAACTTGTCGCTAACTGGTTAGATCTGCCCCCTGAAAAGCTTCTTCATACGTCAAAACATTTTTCTTGAACCTTGGATCGACTAAGGTTAAAACTGATAAAATAATCTTTTTCTGTGGCGATAAGTTCAAGTGTTTTAGCCGATATCATATAAATTAGTAATGAAAGTTTTTTCTAAACCTGAAATGCATATAATGGCGAGGGTTTAATGTAAATAATCGGTATCGGATACCGAAAAGGAAGTATAGGGTACCGAAATCTTTTTTAAGTATTGGGTACCGAGTATTGGGGACAATTCAGCACATCACTAGTCGCCCTCATTCTCGCCGCTCTCAGTAGTCAACTCTACGATGACGTCACGCTAAAATTACTCTCACGAATTCTGCTGCAATCGGCGCAATCTTGTATTCTATCATTCTTGGCTCTCATTGCTATACGTGTATTAGTAAGATTTGTTGCCCCCTGCCCGTTTGCCCATGATTTTCCCCTTATCTAGCCCGCGAAATGGGCTCGCTTGCCCATACGGGCAAAAAAGCCCAAACGGGCAAAAGTGCCCATGTCTGGCTAAGAGGGTAGATACACAGGAACGGGAGCAGAAAACGACATTCGGAAAATTAAGTGAAAGGGTCAGCAGCAAAACTAAGAATTTTTTAACCTGCGGCGAAGGTTGTTGAATATTAATTAAATAAAAGATTTGAAATCGACTTTTAATTGTTTTACTCAAGCCGGGTTCAAAAAATTTAGTTTATTGCCTACAAAATTTAAAAAATTCTTATTGGCTCCTGATAGTCGTATTCGAAATTCGGTATGTCGGAGGACTTGTCTTCGCAACATACAATAGCTGGAGCGAATAGCGCTGCCAATCTTGCAGCTTCGAGCCACGTGCCCATACACTCATTAATGGATCGTCATTTGCAAGCTCCGGTGCCAATTCTGCACCCTCGACCAACAACTTGCCAAGTATCGAGTCCAAGGAGTCCGCGAATAATGTCGAAGTTGATACACTGTCATCGCTAGCAACTTTTTGCATTTCCAATAATTTGGAATATAGTGTTCCCCCAACAACAAAATCTCAGGACCGCTGGAGGGACATCCGTTACCATTAGAGGCTAGATCAGGAGGAACGGGCCGCACTAACACGTACGCCCAACCTCTGACTAGAAATCGCCCCAGCAGCTCTTGTCATTCCATATGTTCCGCAACCTCATAAGCGACGAATTACAATGCGCAAGATATTCGGCGCATATCTGAATTGCTACAGGAACAGAGTGAGATACTTAAGCAGAGGGAAGCTCTGGTGATAGAACAACATGCTTTTTTGGATCGGATCGACGCAATCCGTCTGGAGGATGACCCCGTCGACCATCCGCCTGCAGTCCCGACATTGTTTACCAGTAATGATAGGTCAACTCAACAAATACCGCCTACTCTAAATTTAGGCTGTGTTGCTACACCAAGAGAATGGGCATCGAACCTATGCCATCCGCCTCTTGAACGTGATTTTTTGCCTGGATTATTGAATCGTCAGCCACCACTTTGCAATCCATCGGCCACTGTAATGCAGACATTATTAGACAGAATCGAATCACTGGAACAACAACTGCATGCGCTTCCAACAGAGAACAGAGGATGGTTTCCTCAACAAACGGCTGATATGCCAAACCAGCAATCCCCACTAGCGCCCATAACCAGCACTGCCTATGGCGTAGCTCCTCACCGACGTCTGACGAAAGACCAACTTGCGTCTCGTAAATGCCTTCCTAGAGAACTACCGAAATACAATGGCAAGCCAGCGGAATGGCCCCTCTTTTATGCCGCGTACAATCAAACAACCAAGATCTGTGGATTTTCCGACGAGGAAAACCTAATAAGGCTCCGGCAAGCATTAGAGGGCCCAGCTCGCAACGCGGTTAAGAATCTGCTACTACATTCTTCTTGTGTTCCGCAAATCCTTTCAACGTTGCAAATGAGATTCGGGCGTCCCGAACTAATAATTAGCGTGCTGCAGCAACAAATTTGCGAACTACGAACACCATCGGAAAGTCAACTGGAAACCATCGTGGACTTTGCCATCGCTGTGCAAAATATATGTGCAACTATTAAAGCATCGGGGCTTGCCAGACACCTCATCAACCCTGAATTGTAGCAAAAACTTGTGTCGAAGCTGCCTGGATCACTACCGATGTATTCGGGAGTACACAAGCAAGGCCTGTCAAACTGCAAACTTCAGACTTTCAGTGATTGGCTCTTTCATCTGGCACAAGGAGCCAACTGTGTGCTCGTACCAACTGAGCCAACGAAGATGCGAAAACGTGGGGCTGTTAATCATCATCATAAGACGGTAAGCCGTATCGTTTGTAAGGGAAGTTGTAGTGCTTTGTCTAATTGCGACTATTTCAAGGAAATGTCTCGTAGCCAAAAATGGGACACCGTACGCCAGCTGAAATTGTGCTACCGGTGCTTGAAAAAGCATTTAGGGTCTGACTGCAAATCGAAGGCTACCTGTAACGTAAATGGATGTACTCGCTACCACCACCCATTACTGCATAACGAACCTTCGGTTACCACTAACGAACAAACGTGTAAAACCAACATGAAAACACAGATGGCTAATATCAACGCTCATAACGTTGGCGAAGAGGGTACACTTTTCCGCGTCTTACCTGTAGTTTTGCACGCGGGTGCTAATAGTGTGTCAACATATGCCTTTATAGACGACGGCTCCTCTCTCACTCTAATCGATGAAGAACTGCTGCAACAGCTGAATGTGAAGGGCACCCCACAGCCACTTTACCTTCGCTGGACAGGCGATGCACATCGCTACGAAGACGATTCAGTTACTCTCGACCTTGCCATATCATCCAAACTCGGGAATGAAAACTTGCCTCTGAAAGCAGTACATTCTGTTAAGAAGCTCGATTTGCCCACCCAATCGCTTGACGGGGCGAATCTGAAGGCAAAGTTTAAATATTTAAGGGGCTTGCCATTACAGTCGTATAACAACGTAACATCGAAACTTTTAATTGGGCTAAACAACGCCACACTTGGATCCGCCATTAAATCCAGATTAGGTGATGACTACGCGCCTATATCCGAGAAAACTAAGCTCGGGTGGACAGTCAAAGGCCACAGATCTATAGCACTTCAAGGTGCAACTCAATACGTCTATCACATATGCGACTGCTCTGAGCATAAAGAACTTCGTCAGGTTGTTAAATCCCACATTTGTCTCGATAATTTAGGTGTGGTGGCCAATATCCCAGCGTTGATGTCTAAAGATGATGAGCTTTCCGTAGAACAGCTAGAGCAACACACCGTTCGAGTAGGTGATCGCTTTCAAACTAGCTTGTTGTGGAAGCATCCTAATATGCAGCTACCAGACAGCCTGCCTATGGCAAAATATCGCGCGAAATGCTTGCTGAAGAAAATGCAACGTGACCCAAAACTTGCTGAGCAGCTTCAAAATAAGATTGCCAACTATCTGCGAAAAGGATATGCCCGGCGAATGACATCCGAGGATGCTGCCGCCAAAAGATATTGGTACTTGCCTGTTTTTGCAGTGAGTAATGCTAATAAGCCAGGCAAGGTTCGCCTGGTGTGGGACGCAGCTGCTACGGTAAACGGTGTTTCGCTTAACACTATGCTCTTCGCCGGCCCTGACCTGACAACCCCACTTCTATCCGTTTTATTTAAATTTCGACAAAAACGCGTCGGCATCACTGCCGATATAGAAGAGATGTTCCATCAGGTGCGGATCCGTCCTGCGGATCAAACTTTTCTGCGTTTTCTGTGGTACGAGCAAAATAATACAGAGAGAGATGACGTTCGGGTCGAAATGTTCTCCGAGCTGCGCTCAATTTGTAAAAAAAACAAAAACGCAGCTGAGTTTCGAGATCAATTTCCTCGTGCTGCTCGATGCATAGTGGAAAATCACTATGTTGATGACATGTTAGACAGTGTGGACACCGATGAGGAGGCAGTTCAGCTGGCACTAAACATTCAATATATCCATTCCAAAGGTGGGTTTCATATTCGAAATTTTCTTTCAAATTCAGACCGCGTGTTGAAGGCTTTGAATGTAAGGTCAGACAAAGCCCTTTGCCTAAATTTCGAAAGTGAACTACCAACCGAAAAGGTATTAGGTATGTGGTGGATTGCATCTACAGACCATTTTACCTTTAGAGTATCAGCCAAGTACAAGGAATCTAACTTATTAGTTTACCAACGTCGGCCAACTAAACGTGAAGTGTTGAGCCTTGTGATGACAATCTACAATCCGCTTGGACTCATCGGATTTTACGTGATATTTGCGAAAATAATCTTACAGGAGATATGGAGATCAGCTTGCGGCATTCCTGACGAGCAGTTTACAAAGTGGCTTCGATGGATTCGCCTTATTCCAAAAATTGAAAACATGCGTATTCCACGCAACTACATACGCACCGAGTTTGACAGCCCGCCTCAAATAGAACTGCATACCTTTGTCGATGCTAGCGAGTCAAGCTATGCAGCTGTGAGCTACATGCGTTACTCAGATGGTAAAATTGTTGACTGTGCGATGGTTTCTAGTAAAACTAGAGTCGCACCACTTAAGGTGATGTCTATTCCTCGGCTGGAATTGAAGGCAGCGCTCTTGGGAGCTCGTCTCTCTAAGCACGTCAGAGAATCACACTCCATTTCAATTGCCACTTCCACATATTGGTCCGACTCGCAAACAGTTACAAACAGTTCGTCGCCTTTCGAGTCAGCGAAATTTTGGAGTTTACCAAGGTGGATGAGTGGCGTTGGGTGCCAACCATCCACAATGTTGCCGATGAAGCAACAAAATGGCATGGAGATCCCGATTTTTGTAATGAAAGCCGTCTACAGGGACCCGCATTTTTAAAGTTGAAACCGGGTGAGTGGCCTGTCCAGCAGATGAATGTGAAGAGTGAGCTTTCTGAAGAACTTCGCCCGCAGTATGTGGGCTTCAACCGCGAATTAGCACAATCAAATCTCATCACTGCCAATCCTGAGCGATTTTCTTCGTGGAATCGTCTTCTTCGTACCACTGCAAAAATCATAACTTGTGCTCGAAGCTGGCTTAGTGTGGTACGAGGCGGCGATGTTGTGCATAACGAGCTCGACTCTGAAGATCTTTGTAAAGCGGAAAAGCAACTCTGGAAAAAAGCACTGCTCGACGCTTTCGCTGATTCAATAGCTTCGTTATTGAAGCGAAAATGCATCGAAAGGTCTAGCGATATATATAAATTATCACCTTACCTTGACGACGATAACGTATTGCGAATAGACGGGCGAGTAAAACTGAATGAGAGAAAAGATCCTGTGTTGCTACCACGCAATCATTACATTACACGTTTTCCTACACAGGAGTGGATTATTTCGGCCCACTTCTAGTTACTGTGAAGAGAAGCAATGAGAAAAGGTACGAGGTCCTATTCACATGTCTAACTACGAGAGCCGTGCATATCGAAATTGCCTATTCGCTATCTACAGACTCCTGCATTCTCGCCATACGTAACTTTATGGCACGGAGAGGTAGTCCGTTAGAATTCTTAAATCTTAAGGGCGCGGAAAGAGAACTCAAAACACATTCGGGCAACTCGACCGTGAACAACTGACCAAGACCTTTACGACACCAGCAACTAAATGGCACTTTATACCGCCTGCGTCTCCCCACATGTGTGGAGCCTGAGAGAGGCTTGTACGTTCCATAAAGAACGTACTCTATCGCATCATGCACCACACACAACCGAACGACGAAGTTCTTCGAGCAGCCTTAATGGACGCAGAAATGATAGTCAACTCGCGCCCACTGACTTACATCCCATTGGATCATGAAAACGATGAAGCACTAACACCCAACCACTTCTTGTTGGGTAGCTCGAGTGGCGTTAAACCAATTGCTGAACCAGTAACTGAAGGTGTTTTATTGCGACGTAATTGGCGATCTTCTCAGCAACTTGCCGACGCCTTCTGGGGGCGTTGGGTCGCGGAGTACCTTCCAATCATAACGCGAAGAAGTAAGTGGTTCGATGACGTAAAGCCGATCGAAGTTGACAACATTGCCTATATAGTCAATCAAAACAATCCAAGAAACTGTTGGCCAAAAGGAAAGGTAGTTAAAGTGCACACGAGCCCTGACGGAAGGTTAGGAGTGCAACACTTAAGACTGTATGTGGCGTATATGAGCGACCTGCTGCCAAAATTGTTATTCTCGATTTAATTTCGGTACACCCTGATTTACAGGGTATACCAGGGGGGAGTGTTGCAAACAGTCTGGCAGCATCACCACCGAGAGCTTTGCTTCGCGACAAATAAAGCTCAGCGTGAGTCGTTTGCTGATATGATAAGCGACAAAGGGGAGAAACTGAACGGTTGAGTTCGTTCGCTAAGAGGTTAGATACACAGGAACGGGAGCAGAAAACGATACTCGTAAAATTAAGTTAAGGGTCAGCAGCAAAACTAAGAATTTTTTAACCTGCGGCGAAGGTTGTTGAATATTAATTAAATAAAAGATTTGAAATCGACTTTTAATTGTTTTACTCAAGCCGGGTTCAAAAAATTTAGTTTATTGCCTACCTCTACCTCTTTTTAAATGACTACATTTCATTAACCTGTGGGAAAATGTTAAAAAATCAAATGAAGCTGTAG